ACACTTTATCAGAACAATTTTATTCCGATTTATTCAGAACACTGATCGATCGGATAACAACTTTATTCCGATTTTATCAGAACACTGATCGATTTGAGACAGAACACTGATCGATTTTATTTATTTAATGATGTTACTGATTGCAGAACAATTAAAGCTCAATCCTTTTTTACATTTAAATACTCTTAATATGTTAAGATCTTTTTTAATATATATCAAAATTGTAAATAATTATGCATGCACTATTTACTATTTTGGTAAATGCCTAATGATTTTAACTCTTGTAAATAGCCTAGATTCTAAAGCATATCCATGTACTATTTTATAACATATTCTTATCTATTGTAAAGTACTCGTTAATTCAGTTGTTTCTGTAACTGCAAGAGAGTCCTAATAAACTATTATTATTATTATTATTATTATTATTATTATTATACTTATCGAGCTGGCTACGCCACTGAATTCAAGCAACGCGAAAAGCGACTTTGAAAAGTTGTAACTGTAAATGTATATATACCATTATACAAACAACTGCAATACTAAGAACTTGTGTTTCGTGGTGTGGAGACTCAAACGGGGAGAGGCAGCACCCCAAAAATGGCAGGAAAATCGGCCGTGAGAAAGGCTAATTGACTATTCACTAAAACTCTAAAAGGCTGCCATGTACCGCGGCACATACTGTACCTGAACCTATTGCATATTCATACAATGTGTAAAGTGCCGTGCTGAGGTGTTGCTCAAGACAATAATAAAATATACAAATAATTCTAATCAGGGGTGTATATTCTTCAATGAACTTTGATTCTCCCCCCCCCCCTTCTTTTCAGATTTGATTCTTTTCCCCATATCTTTACTACATCAGCCTAAAAGGCCTGTACCTAATAGTAATAATTATTGACCAAACTCAACAACGATTTTGGTAAGACAATTTACATTATACGTTATACAATAGTCATGTGCACATATTGCTAATTTTTATGTTTTTTCACTTTATTCCAAATCGGCTTCTATATTTTGTCTTTCTCACACAATTGCCAACCCCAATCCCTGCTGACGAGTCCATACTGATTTTACACACATGACTATCTTCTCTCGCTTTATATACTGTATTTTACATGCCTCCATACAAGCTTTTTAGTACAGCGCGATCATACTCTTTGGGTCTGATCAAATTTTTTACACCACAGAACAGGATATTTTCCGTTACAATTTCACACACGCATCTCCAATTTTATGTTCCACAAGTCTACACCTACACGTATATTTCTTAGGTTCACATTTATACATATACAAATGAGTTTTTTATCTTTTATTCTCAGTTTTATTAAATACAACATTTTTTCACAAGCATACATTCTGCGAACAACACGAGGCCATCACACTATCATATTTCACACTACATTTTTAAACTAACATTTAGGGACTATTGTGGCATAAATTTATTACTAGGACACCAATATGGTTCTCATTACCTATATCTAAACTTAAAAAACCCACGGAAATTTTTCTCTTCTTTTCCCTCTGCCTTTCCATTTTTTCCACTCTTCTTTGATTTTCTTCCCTAAGACCCTTTGCTTCTTTTCCCCCATCCCAGGGGGGGGGGGGGGATTATAGAAGAATATACACCCCTGATTCTAATTCATTATATGCAATCATAAAATTTAAATTATAAATAATATTTTGTCTTTTTAGCTTGAATATTATTATTTGTGCTGCGACTGTTCAAGCCGTATGAACTTGTATGTACCCAACCTCGTACCCAGGTTCTTTTCTCTACGTGCCTGAATATCAGTCATATTTAGAAAATTTAGTCGTCCGTAGTCGTCTGTTACCCGTCTGTTACTCGTCTGTACTCCTCTGTTACTCGTCTGTACTCCTTTGTTACTCGTTTGTACTCCTTTGCTACTCGTCTGTACTCCTTTGTTACTAGTCTGTACTCCTTTGTTACTCGTCTGTACTCCTTTGTTACTCGTCTGTACTCCTTTGTTACTCGTCTGTACTCCTTTGTTACTAGTCTGTACTCCTTTGTTACTCGTCTGTACTCCTTTGTTACTCGTCTGTACTCCTTTGTTACTCGTTTGTACTCCTCTGTTACTCGTCTGTACTCCTCTGTTACTCGTCTGTACTCCTTTGTTACTCGTCTGTACTCCTTTGTTACTCGTCTGTACTCATTTGTTACTCATCTGTACTCCTTTGTTACTCGTCTGTACTCCTTTGTTACTAGTCTGTACTCTTTTGTTACTAGTCTGTACTCCTTTGTTACTAGTCTGTACTCCTTTGTTACTAGTCTGTACTCTTTTGTTACTAGTCTGTACTCTTTTGTTACTAGTCTGTACTCCTCTGTTACTCGTCTGTACTCCTCTGTTACTCGTCTGTACTCCTCTGTTACTCGTCTGTACTCATCTGTTACTCATCTGTACCCGTCTGTTACTCGTCTGTACTCATCTGTTACTCATCTGTACCCGTCTGTTGCTCGTCTGTACTCATCTGTTACTCATCTGTACCCGTTTGTTACTCGTCTGTACTCATCTGTTACTCATCTGTACCCGTCTGTTACTCGTCTGTACCCGTCTGTTACTCGTCTGTACTCATCTGTTACTCATCTGTACCCATCTGTTACTCGTCTGTACTCATCTGTTACTCATCTGTACCCGTCTGTTACTCGTCTGTACTCATCTGTTACTCGTCTGCACTCATCTGTTACTCATCTGTACCCGCCTGTTACTCGTCTGTACTAAGGTAAGGTAAGGTAAGGTAAGGTAACTTTATTTATCCACGGTGTACTCATCAGGATTAAGATTACATACATATAGCTATATATATAAATAAATCTACAAAATTATGCATAAAACTAATAACACACTACTTACAATATAAATAACCGT